GTCTTGTTTACTTTATTTGATACTTTGTTCATAGTTCATGTCTGCCTTATTTGAACTTTCTCTTAACCTCCACTCCTTTTGAGTGCGTTCAATAAACTGTTCAATAAACTGTTCAATAAACCCATTCGAACCTCTATCTCCGCAACTGAGTCCCCCCTTAGACCCAGTGTCCTGACATTTTCTTGTCAGTGGAACAACAGCCAACACAGACTGGACAGAGTTAGGGTTTGTCATAAGACTTTAATTGTGGGCGCACACATGCGCACACACACACACACACACAAATTGTGGAAGAAGATGGAAGCAGAAAACAGATTTACTCACACGTAGAAAATAATAAGTAAGCTGTTTGATTAGACTTGTATGAAATTGTGTATTTGAGGGATTATATCCTTTAATAACAGGAAGTATCACTCAAATGTCCAATAAAGATCAAATGGTGTATTTGGAGGGGGGGGGGGGGGGGTGGTTTGTCTCTGACACAAAAACAACTGACTTTTCAGTTGGTCAGACTTTATGCCACAGGATTTAACTGAATGAGGAAACGAAACAAAGCAAATATCACCAGACATTAACATCTCAGTTAAAGACAGTTTCACACATGTGAGCACATGTTGTATTTTTGAAAGCCGACATATAAGGCTGTGCAGCATTTTGAGGCTGGAGCGAACACTTTCCGATGCCCCAAAACACAAATCCACCTGCTGACCATCGTCTTTGTATCGTCTTAGTCTTCCTACCTGTAGCAGATACCCCCTCTACTCCCCTCTCTCTCTTTGCTGTCTGTTTCTCTGCGTTTCTACTGAGAATCCGTCTGATGCTGCAGAGACTCCTGATGAGCAGAACAACACTTTAAAGCTGAAGCTGTGATATTTGCTGCTGGGAACCTGAAGCAGGCGGCCTTCTGTCTGATGAACCCCCCAACTGATGCTCACCGCCTGCTCTCCTCAGGATGACCAGCAGGGGGCCACCAAGAGCCACTAAAACACACCATTTGATCATTATTCTCTTCTTTTTATTGCACATTTGAGTGATAATTCCTGTCAATAAAGGATATAATCCTTCAAATCTTCATAGTTTAGCATGTATTTGATCCTGAAAGTGTCTGAAAGCAGCTGGTTTGAAGAGAAAAATATCAGAGACGCAATAAAAAGTCAACGATTTATTGACAAGAACATCAGGATGAAAGTATCTTGGTATAAAAAAAATAATATTTTCAAAGAATTTAGAAGGTTTTAGCCAACAATCAGACAGATATTTACAACAGATATATTACTCATTAACCTTCAGGGTTCAGTTAAACTTAATCTGTAACTAAATCTGTTTTTGGGTTGATTTAATATGGACTTTTCCTCAACATATGCTTCATATTTTTTTTCCCTTTTAGAGGCTTTAATGAGACAAAGACAGAGGACTAAGATGAGTACAATCAGAGCTGCTACTACAACAGCTGCTGTCACTATTATAATATTCTGCCATCCTGGACTTCCTGGTTCTGGACTTCCTGGTTCTGGACCCTGGGTGGGTCTCTGAGGTTCTGGGTGATCAGCAGCTGCTGTAAAGGACAGAAAATGAAGCAGATTTATGGAAACAGGAAACATCTCCTCATCTGAGCTTTAGATCTCAGCAGAAAAACTCACCAGTGACGTTCAACCGACATCTTTCAGAGTCCGAGCCGTGATCAGTCCTCACTTCACACAGATACCAGCCAGAGTCCTCAGTCCTGAGTCTGGACACATGGAGGCGGATTCGTCCTTCTCTGAGGGCGTCTCTGTCCATCTGGACTCGTCCTAAAAACTGCTCGCCCACAGACTCTTCCAGTTCATCACCATCATGGATGAATTCAGTCAGGAGTGAGATGTTGTATCCAGGTCTCAAAACACCAATTATCAGCTCACAGTAGGCCAACATGAACTCCCAGGGTGTGTGAGGGTGGGTGGTGAAGGTCCACTCCAGAGTGATGCTGTGGGTCTCCTCTGCCTGATAGTGTCTCTGTGTCACATTCACTCCAAACGCAGCCGCTGAGGAGACAGAGGGAAAGAGAGGAGCTCTGAGAGCTGCAACATGGAGTCTGGACCCCTGACCCCACTGATCTGCTCTGTGGGAGCAAAGACTGGACTCTGGACCTCAGGAAGTGAAGATGGAAACTGACCACAGACACATGGAGAGAGGATGAGGAACAGGGTCCAGCAGAGCGTCTTCATCCTCCAGTTCAACACATCTGGCTGCTCTTTCTGTTAAAATGTTTCACTGCTCGACCAGAAAAAAAGCGGAAATTATTCCATCAGATAAAGAAAATGAGAAGTCAGTGGTGTGCAGCTCTGAAATGTTTGAAGGAGAACATCAGCCTGAGTCTGAGCTGCTAAATGAATAAAAGTAAAAGCTTCATCCTGTGGGCTGTTGTGGTACTAAAGAGGCTTCAGCAGAGGGAGCCAAACTCTGGAGGTAAAACCCAACCAGGTGGAATAAAAGGATGATTCCATGTTGTCAAATTATTCAAATCATTTATCTATATGTACAATCTGAACTTTCGCTGTGTTCTCGTTCTTAAACGTGCTTACATTGATATTCAAGCTTAATTAATCAGCTAAAGCTTCTTAACTCATTACATTAATTTATTACCTGAAACAGCTGTAAAAGCACCAAAATATCTGAAGGTTCACACAAAGAAATACAATAGTTTAAAAATGGAAAAATAAATCATGTTACCATAAAAACAACAATAAAAACAAAGAGAGGTGGAACTAAGTCAGTTATTTTCTACTCTTTGGATTTAATGAAAGCTGGTCTGGAGGCTAATTTGGATTACAAAGATGAAACGTCTTTGATGTTTTCTGACATCAAAGATGTGAGAACATCTGGCATCTCTTTCTGTTAAAATGTTTTACTGTTTTACAAAAAAAGCAGGAATTATTTTATCAGATAAAAAAAATGCTAAATTAATTGAAGAATCTGGTTAACTGAGAATCTCCAACAAACACATAAGAATATTGAACATAAACTATGTTGATCATCATAAATAAATGTTTATAAAATGCCCCCAAAATCTAACAGTTTACGGGGGGGGAAAATTGTGCTTAAAGCCAGTAAAGCCATTTCTGCTAAGCTTTTCATCGAGCTGAAGGTTTTATTTACAAGGCCTCCTATTGGATGAAGAAAGCCTGTCTGTGATTGGCCACTGGTTAATTTACATACCACAGGGGGAAGTAGGTGGGAACGAAAGGAGGCTGGAGTCTAACTTAGCATTTTTCAGGTTTAAACACAAATCTAATAATGGTTCCCGATCTCTGTCCTCAAAGATGAACCGTCTTTGATATTTTCTACCCTCAAAGGTGTGAGAATGAGCTCAGGTTTCCCTGCTGGTGGTCCTTCTGGTTCCTGTTCTGATCCAAAACCTGATCCAGTAAAACAGTTTTTTTCTACGGACAGCAGCTCTTTACCTTCAGGTTTCTCCTTCCTCCTCACAGCATACTGACCCTGGTGAGACAGGTTACATGTTGGTGATCCTCCTCAGACAGAAAACATTAACTGATAGAGCTACAGGGACGCTGCTCAGCAGCTTCTGACACATTGGAACAGTCACAGTGACAAAATACCTCGTCATACTGCTCTGTTTATACTACTAACAGTGCACAGTTTGGTTCTTCACGGTTTATTCAACTCTGCACTACGGATGGTGAAACAGAAAGTAAAGAAAAGAGGAACCAGCCCAGCTTCTGTTTGCTGCAGCTCTTCTGTTTCCACTCAGTCAGTAAAGTCCCTCTGAGCACACAAGTGTTGGAGACTTTGTAGAAAGTTAAGAACAAACCAACAGTTTTTAGTCTGTATTTTACCAGCTCAGCATTTGACTGATAAAGAAACAAAAATGAACGTTTCCCTGTTTCTCAGAGGACAGAAATCCTAACAAATCAACCAGCTGTTTATTTCTCCAGCTGCTGTTTGGCTGCAGAAACATCTGGATGTGAGTCTGGAAACAGTTTTTCCCTCCAGCTCTGACCCCCAGATGTTCTGTTTAACATGTTGGAGATCAGGATGGTAATTCTCACACATCTCCATGAACACTTTATACAAAGATCAGAACAGAACATGAACTTTGGGCTGTTCTCAGACTTATAAGATGATCATTTAATCAGAGTTGTGATTACTTTCTTTCTCAGTTCTGGTGGCTAAATAAAACCAGAGCACACTCTGCAAACATTTTTGGTTCTGGCTGCGTAACAAAGTTGTCCTCCCATGTCTCTAGTATAAGCATACTTATGTATATTTGCAGTAGATCTCAGTTTGCTGGACCTCCCGGCCTGTTTTTGGTTTGTGTCTGAAGAAAAAAGCCTTCACCAACCCCCTCCTGGTTTCAGAATAATGCTGCATCATCTTAGTCATTCCTGCTGACAGCCAAAGTCCTTTACAGTAGGCATACCTCTCTGAGGCAGAGTGTTGTGTCATTAAAACAACACAAACTGGGTGAGGCTTAAAGCACAACAGATTAAAAATGCTGTCTGGGACTTCTGGGATGCACCTGAGTGTGTCTCAGAGTTATGTTCAGAGTTATGTTCAGTGGCATAACACGCGTGGAAACACACAGGTATTTTTATTTCGTCCTCATGCTGTGAATGTGCTGCACAGCACTAAATGCCTCACATGCATGATGGCTAATTATAGAAGAGTTCATTGTGAAACTGCATCTGAACTGAGGGACTGAGGAGTCTGCCTCTGTTTCTGAGATAATCAGAGATCAGCTTTAGAAACATAAACATACATAATACATGTCTATATATCTCTGTTGGAGAGCGACTCATGAAGAGACTTTTCGCAGTTTATTACAGTTTTCCTTTTTGTGTGTTTTTCCGATTGATATGAGTTAAAATCGAATGATTGAAATAATCAAACAAAACACCTGGATGTGAAAAGTCTCCAAAACTGAGCAGCTCACACTAAAAAAGCCCAAACGGCTCCTTCAAGATTCTACTTTTAAAATATTATTTTTTGGACCAAGATACTTTCATCCTGATGTCATTTTGCTGGAAATAAATATTTGACCTTTTATTGTGATTTGACTGTTTTTTTCTCTACAAACCAGCTGCTTTCAGTCACTTCAGGATCAGGCAGAAAGAAGGAGAAGAGGAACCGGGACAGGATGTGGCTTGTCTGAACACTAAAACAAAAGCAACTTGATGCCACATGATGTAACTGTTGAAAATCAACAGATATTACCCACAAAAGTTCATAGAAATTCACACATGAGCTTTGAGATGCTACAAAGTATTTACAAAGGCATCAACTTATTGTCTTCAACTCTAATAACAGGCCCAGAACCAGGTTCCTCTCCTGATTTAATCCGTATATAAAGTATCTGTTCATGGAGATGTGGGAGAATTAATTCATTATCATGATCTTTAACATGTTCATCCTTTAAAGCCTGATCCAAAAAAAAAACAATTCTGGAGATCTTTATTTGGCCCTTTCAAAAATATGAAGAAATCAGAAATCTATTTTAATTTTAATACTGGGTGATTATTCAAAGTGATTGTCCTTAGACTTCTGAATGTGTGAAACTGGGTTTGAGCAAAGTTTTTACCATTAACTGATGCAAAAGGGAATTTACTTTTACTGTGTGTAGTAAAATTGTGGAAGAAGATGGAAGCAGAAAACAGATTCACTGAGTTGAAAAAAAGACCGGCACAAGGCCTCCATCTTGTGGAGGAAGAGTGGATGAAGCAGACGAACCCCGAAGAAACAAAGAAACTAAACCATCTTTGGAAGGATGCTTTTAATCTGAATCGGGTATTTGGGGGCAGGAAACAGCTAAAACTTGCAGGGCAGAAGCCAGAAGAGACGGACTCTGACATCCAGGTTTTGAAAAATCTGACTGTTTTGCAGATGTTTTTTCCAAAGACTTTTCCCGAGTAACAAATTAATTATGAATCATTCAATAATAAAAATGTTAACTGTGAACTTAAGTCAGATCTAAACACTTTACACAGCTGAGAAAATGATCATTATAAGTATTTAAAAGTACATTTTCTAATGAGTCCAATTCTATTTTAGTGTGGTAGTAATTAGTTAACTTAAATCTGACTTTGATATTTTTTAAAAAGCTTTTCTGTCTGATGCTCACCGCCTGCTCTGCTCAGGGAGAACCAGCAGGGGGCCACCAAGAGCCACTAAAACACATCATTTGATCATTCCTGTCCCTGTACCAAGATCCTTCTTTGACCTTTGACCTCTTGGCCTCATAGCAGACGCTATCAGACACTACTGATTGAAATCTAAATGAAAATAGTTTGTGACATTTTGCACTAATCGTGTTCTTATTGTGGAATTAAGATGTTGTAAATGAGTCATTTGGAATCACAAAGTCAGTAAATCTGTTGTCTGCTTCCACAGTTTGAATACAAATAGTCAAATTAAATTCTTGTAAACAGATTAGAAACTGAAATGGGTTTCCTGTGGGGGTGTGAGTGGTCAGTAATCAGTGTTACTGGCAGAAATAGACGCCCCACAATCAAACTGGGCCTCCTGGAGACTGTCTGCATTTCTGAGAGAGAAACTCTGCTGCTAGAAACAAGTTGGAGGTTCAGACCCACAAACAGGAGGCGAAAATACTCACGGAAAATAATGGGAGTCATTCAGGGAGGGGAGGGACACTGTTTCAGTGGAGGGAGGAGAGTCTGTGTGGGGTGGGAGGAGCCTAGAAAAGGTGGGGAGGAGCCAGCACCAAAACCGGTTTTGCAGTATCAAAAGTGATAACAACACCATTCATCATGCTGAAACATGTTTGCTCTAGTTTGATCTCATAAAACATTGCTGTTAAGCCTTGAATTCTACTGACTACACACAGCCCATGTCAGTGTGTTCTTGTGGGTGTGAGA